ATTATGTTGCCTGGATACGAAATTCACCAAGGCGGTGATATTTTCGGACTCAGAGTCAGCAATAAACTCAATTGGAAGCAGAGGAGATATACGAATGCAAAAAATTCTATCAGATGCTGAGAGAGAAAAACAAAACAGTGGTCCTACAATGGATTCCTGGTCACTGTGGCATTAAAGGCAATGAGTTTGCTGACACACTTGCTAAGAAGGGGACAACGATTTTTTAATGCATGGACCGGCCGATGTCTTTCCACATAATGAAGGCCTTAATCAAAAGAGAATTCAAGACCTCAAGGTACAACGAACTTAAAGCTCGAACAAAGGAGAAACAGTGGACAGTGGCACTCTCCGACATAGCCGACTGGCCAAGAATCGAAGCCGTTGCTGGGTTTAGACTACGTACCGGACACGATTGTTTGGCAAAACACCTTCAAAGATTGGGAGTATACACTCAACCCACATGCCCTCTATGTAACCTACAGGAGGAAATGGAGAAGACCCACCTGATTCGGTGTCCAGCCCTAAAGACAACGACGGAAAGCCAGATACTGGGAAGCTAATGAACTGGTATTAATTAACTGCTATCAAAATTACTTCAATACTAGAGTTACCATTTATAAAACTTCCATCTTAAAAACGATATTTAAATTTTATCATTAAATCATTCATATAATATCATAATAATGTTATTTCCAATTAACCCTATAACTTCCAAAATGTTCTAATAGTCTTCCAAACTTCTTGAAACATTTTTGAATTAGGTATTTAATTAGAATCAATTTGGATTCTACCACAGATATTTGATTATTCCATGGAACACATTGTCCCATGGTCAGCCATGTTTTCGCCTATGGGGTGCAATTAATGTTTACTTTGGAGACAACCAGTGTTTTCTCACATTAACACTGTCGTAGACAATACACTTCTACGTCTCAGTAACAACTTCATGTCAAACAGGCCACGTTCTTCGTTATCAAGACAACGAACAAATGAATGTCTTTCTCCTCGCACCTCTGTTCTACTGGGAGAGTCGATGCACCGACAACAAAGTCACCATCCTACTCAAATTTCCCATCTCTACCAAATGCATTTCCATAGTTCACCATGGACATGCAAGTTTCTGTCATTATTCTTCCACAATTAATCGAAAACCTGATTCAACTATGCATGTTAAGGCATCGTCATCAATAGTTGTGGACTGTCTTCCTTTTGACACACCATTCAAGTTCTATTGACTTTTCTTCTTCTTAAACTCAAACACTTACATCGGTAAAGTGTAGGTACTTGATCAAACACTTCAGAAATGCCTTCAGTAGCCTTATAGGCATTCAAGTCATGACCAGAAAAAAGCAGCATCCATACACCGTGTCTTGACACAAATTGAGCTCAAATAGGTTTGTGAAATGTTGAATTTCCTATTGGTGTCTCTAATAATAACTATTATGGGTATAAATTATCACAAATGCAACACCAAATATTATCCAGACACCAATAAAATTCTGTTTTAGCTTATAAATAAGTCGACATTTATTCAAATGAATAACGAGATTTATTCAGACGTAGCATTTAATAATTATTGTCATTATTCACGATACCAACTAACGAATAAATTCCTATTTTTCAATTGTAGCTTATAGGTGAAAGATCCAAAGGTTATTTTTAATGATAAACGATTATCTAGAAACAAGAAAATTTTAATAAGCGTAAATAGTGACGAATTTCGCAATCTCGAGTCCGTTTATCACAAATAGGAATACCGTGGATGAAGATAAAATAGATAAATATAATAAAAAATTAGAATTAAACAAAGAAATTAAATCAACATGAAAGTATTTTTAAAACTTACAAGACAAATGAGATTGTATACGTGGAACAGATCGCCAGTCATATCTTCAGCTCCGACAAATGAGCCATAGCGTTCACGAAGAGACTGAAATATCCAAGCTGCGCATTGAAAGTAGGTACAAGCGGTTTTCATACTCTAAAGAGAAAACATTATATCAGAAAAAAACTCAAAAAAGCCGTCAAACTGTTCCACTTACATCACCATCCACTCGTGATTGCTTACGTCCAAGATGAGCATAAGCAGCACCTAAACCATAGAGAATCGCAGCCTCTTCGTAAGTGATTTCAGTTCGAACAAATTGTTTTTGATAAAATGCATCTTGCCTGGTTGGGAAAAAAAAATAATTAAAATTGATTCAAAAAATGACAAGATTAAGACGTTAACCAACCATGGCCATTCAACAAGTTTTGGAGAAGTCAAATCAATTCTATTCTTAAGAAGCATGAGTTGAGCATAATACCGCTTGATAGATATCAGTGAATTTTCATCATTCGGAACCTTGCAACACTCCTAAAGAAAATACCATCTTAGACAGAAGATTTACCGTTCTAAGAGCAAGAAAACTGCGGAAGATATCCTCATTAATGAACATCTGTTCTCCAAAACGTTTCCTGATTTTCTACAACGCACTAACTAAATCAAAACTGAGCAACATGCTTTCTTTATTGGAGATATATCTGGGGCAACGGGACTTATTTTCAAGGGGAGAATAAACATCGGAATTCTGGGGACATTATCCATTTCTGAGAAAATGAAGTTTTAAGTTACGCTGGTGCTTTTCGATGCAAAAGAAGGACGTTAAAGATCTAACAATGGAAATTTGACTCCAACCTTAATAGGTTTCAAATGGTCAAAATTTTATAAAAATTATTGAATTTTGATATTAGGTTGTTATTCTTGACATTTTAAGCAAATTAATTGAATTTATTTTTAGGATTATGTTCTCTTAGAACTTAGAATGCCTTTTACAATAATGAAACATTTTAGAAAGAATATTCTGTTTTGCTGAGATTTATAATTTGTTATCAAATTTGGAATTATCTGAATAATGTAACGTAGTCACATTCCTTATTTACAATTTTGAATTTGTGTTATTTTAAGTTTATTTAAATTTTTTATGCTCTAGTTACCTGCATCACAAATTTATTGAGATTATTGGCTCTCAAAGGAGAATTATTCGCCACTATTTATGATAAATGAAGTGATTGGAAACCTGCAATCAGGTATTTGCATAGGTGGGGTCCAAATCATTCAAATGTTAGTCTGCGAAATATCAAATTGAATCGTAACTTTTTGAAAACTGTCTTAGCAAAGAGTACAAATTGGATAAACTTAATAAATTTACAAAACCATGAATCGTAAAATTTAGTTTTCTTTAATTACAAGATATTTAATAAATTTCGAGAACTACTGAATGCTTTTTTCGTAATTGATTACTCTAAGAGACCTGGCAGTAATCTCATATAAAACCGTAATCATTTAATGCATGTCGTTAAGACAATGACAGGTTGAATAAATTTCAAAATGAAACGGTGAGTTCAATGAATACATGAAAGTAAATAAAGAAATGATTATAAATTTTATGCTATCAAATGCGAACAAAATTGAATCCAAAAACCAATCATCCATAAGTAAATATGATGGCGCAAAACGCCCCCATGACCTTTTTAATAGACCTAGTACCGAGAACTTTAAAATGCACAAATTGACAGTAGTTTCCTTATTAATAGCATAGATTAAATCTGCTGTCAATCTAATGTCGAGATGCATATATATATATAAGCAAATAATAAACTTTTCTATTGAGTGAAAGGATTATTTTTTCTAGCCAACCAATATTAAACCACGCAAAACTCTTTCCGATTAATTAAGATTTGAAAAGATTGATCGTGAATATGCTGCCAAAAAATTTTAAGCACACTCTTGGTGAAACTAAGTAGGACTAATTCCCCCTAATTCGTATTCAAGTTCTGATACCAATATGGCTAAGGTCTTTACATATTAAGTCTGGACGAGTTTATTGGCACACTTTTTCATAAATGTCATTCTTTAATTCAAACTTTCAACTGAATTCATAATGTCGGAGATTCCAATATATTGCCTTATAATTGCACGCATTCAATTATAAGTTAACATAATAATTTTCCTCTCACACTTACTTTGAGTTCTACTTTTTCATTTATTTTGCTTTTACAATTTTTATACAGTAGTATTGAAATATCAACATAATTTATTTAAATAGTTATATTTTGCCGTTTGGCCTTAATATCAGAAATTGGATATGTAATACTAACATATGTGCATGATATATTAGTAAAAGGAATCGATATCTACACTTGGGAAGCATGATTAATACAATGTAATAGGAGAGAAATCTTTATAAAAAGGAAAGTTGGAAATTAAAAATAAATTTT